TTATACTGTAAGTCCCCAAAACTGAGTTCAGATTCTATTTTCTTACGTGATGTTTCAGTTAAAATGGGCTAATTGTTCAGTTTCATGCATTGTGGGGACATAAATTTCATACATTTTTTATTCAGATAATAAAGTCTCGGAGCAAATGTTTCTATGAAGGAAGGGAAGTATTCTGTACAGGAGGGTAGGAAAGTCCAAACAATAGATAGAAAGCTTTAGATGAAAGTTTATCTCTGATGAAGGATTGATAATAGCAGTTTAATTTTCAGAGAAAACAGCATTTAGCAACAATCTACAACATTTCATCCTTCATTGATAAAGAATGACACCAACGTACCATCAGGATGTGCCTCAGTCGCTGTGGTCTAAGTGCTGCAATAAGTAGAACTATCTCTACAATAGGCAGCACTCATGTGACAGAAAACATTTATTTAACCTGTGTAAAAACTTACGCTATCCATTAGACTTTTACTGATATTTGATTTGTTGACCAAAATTTGGTTGTGCATCATATGAAGAACAATGATACAAGTTTTCATTTGTGGCTTCCTAGTGTGGCATTAAATTATATTGAGTCGAGCCCTAAATAGATCCTTGGCCAGTTACCTTGAAAAAGCCACAAAAATCTTAAGTGCATCACCTGCTTCACCCTGTGTCAACATTGTGTCTCTATCTATTAATGAATGACGCAGAGATAGATAGATAGATGATAGACAGATAGATATTGGTCTATAAGAGCCACATTCAGAGCTTTGTTCATGGGAAGGAGGACAAGGGAAATAGAAGCTTCAATCACGGTGGAAGAGAGCATTAAACATATTAAATAAATTGGTAATTGATGGTTTTAATGGGAACTTCTTAAAGGGCCGGGTGCTCTATTGCCTTTATCTTCTCCATGATTCAACACAAGCTCCGTCTCAGACTGTCTGAGGTTGGAGAGTTTCCCGTATCAGAGCAGCTTTTATCATCTCAGACATGTAGAGGTTTGATTAAATCGTTGATTCAAGGTCCCACCAGTCTGAGAATGATAACCAGTCCAGCCTACTGGTTTGGATTCCAGGGCTGGTCTGTAACTGGTCCTGGATCTGCTCCCAGCTGGACGAACCTGAAAAACCTCAGAGAACCAAAGAAAGACTCTTAAAGCTCCAACGTTTTATTTTCATCTTTATATGAAGACATGAGATGCTGGGATGGACCGTGGTGGGCAGCATGCAATGAAGCACATACAGCAGGTTACTGGGAGGAAGGCTAACCGTTTAGCGCTGGGCTACCTGGTCTCCAGGGGAAACGGAGGAGGACAGAAAACACAGAAACACGTTTAAGGACAGAGGAAACATCCTTCAGAGGACGGACAGCGAGGACACATCAGGGTCTATCTACACGTTACAGCCATCATGAACACGGGTCGCCCGACCAATCAGAGGACAGAACCGTCCCCCTTTAAACCCACTGGGTCCACAGCAGAGTGGGTGACTGAGCTGATGCTTCATGCGAGGCGACGGAGCAGATCATGTCCCTCTGAATGCTTCCTATAAATGATTGAATAGAAACATGAGCTACAGAGTCTGAAACTTTAAAGGGAAATCAGCAGCAAACAGCTCATAGCAAAAACAAACTTCTGCACTAAAATCTTCTTTTTACACGTTATAAAAAAAAACTTCATCCAGATGTTACTTTGATCCATTAATGTTTTTTCATTAGCATAGAATATAATCAAAGAGTTTTATTATTTCAGAAACTGAATAAACAAAGTGAAGCTTGGCTTCCTCACACTGATCTATTTAACTTTCTAAAGTTAGAACTTTTATTACAGCGAGAATAAAAATTCAGCTTCTCAGAATGAGTGGATCAGAACCGCAGGAGGGATCAGTTCTCTGCTCGGAGCTGTAGATCCATGGAAAGTTTAGTGGAAGGAAAACAAGCTTTAAAGGAAAAGTCTGGTCAGCGAGGAATAATCAATGGATCAATATTTATACCCAAAACTAATACGTACGCGGAAATGTAAACAGTTAAAAAATATATTTCCTTTTAATATATCTTTTAACTGTTTACATTTCCTTTTACGTATTAGTTTTAGGTATAAATATTGATCCATTGATTATTCCTCGCTGACCGGACTTTTCCTTTAAAGCTTGTTTTCCTTCCACTAAACTTTCCATGGATCTACA